CAAAAAGTATAGTTTCCTTTGCATAATAATTGGCACATCTTGAAAATCGCTCAACGAACAGAATTAACCGTATTGTGAAAGAAATATTCAGATAACTCTCTTTCATGTTTCAAATATTTCTCTCGATAAGTAACATTATAAATGAGATCAGGAAAACTCACTGATATATGAAGAAATGCAAGAAATTAAGAGGGCAAAAGGTAACTGTGAACTTTAATTTGGCACGGGACTGTACATATAGGTACATGTAGATAACATGGTGTATATAAATAGATCATTATAACAAAAAAGTATTTAGATTTTAAAAAAAATGTTTGAAAAAAAGATGGAGGTGGATTGGAAATTTCCATAATACAAGATTTTCTGCATTTACTACATTTCACATTATAAGGAATCACTTCTCACTACCTATGCCTATTGCAATAATGATTAAATGACGATCAATGACAACGTAAAGTAACCAGAAGAAATGAATATCGTTCATGTGGAAATTTTTGAACCCGTTTTTAATAAATGTTTGCAACAATGTAAGTCTATTATTTGTAAAATGTGATGGATTAAGGAAATCAAGGACAATATCTATTAGGCTTCACATTAAAAAGTGCGTTTTTGGACATATTATATCGAACACTTTCACCTCAAAATATAACATATATATACATGTGTATTGTATAATCGAAGGAATATATACACGTCTTGTTTAGCTACATGTATTAGACAATGTCACTTAAAAGTACCAACAATAAAGTTAGGTTTTACTATGAATAGTCTTTGAGTCACGACTATGTACAATACATCTCCCAGTCTCGATTGGTAGACCTGTGGTTATTGGGCGTTCAAATTTTACAAAAAAAAAGTCAATTAATTTCTTGTCGTAAGTTTAAAGAAAGAGAATCATAACACTCGCCCGTTTTGTGTCTCACCTGCAGTATATTGTTGATCACGTCGTGGTACCAAGTATTGAGTACAAAGTAAACGCAATGTCCGCGACGTACATGTAGCCATTTCCTCTAGATCTTTGTCGTTAACGGAATCTTTTTGACCACACAGGTTACAAATTAATCTTTATTTTCATCATATGTGTATCATCGAAGCGCCTTATGAATTATTTCTGATCGACAAAATATAATGTATTTGTATTGTCCGTATGTCAATAACGTTACATTATAGCAAAGGAAACGTTTTCAGAATTCAAGATGTATATGTGTATAAAATTAGATCAAATAACCTTCTATGTAAAATACTCGTACAACCGCTGAGTCAAATATGTTAAAAGTGTTAGGAGGAAAACAGCAGTCCGATAATGGGTTGGTTTGTTTGTGTTTTACGTTCTTTTAACAGCTGTGGTCATTTAAGGACGTGCCAGGTTTTGGTGGTGGAGGAAAGTTTCCGGAAAAACCAACGACCTATGTATACTGGCGACCCAGTGGTGCCGGACTAGTGGTAGCAAGGTGTCAAAAGCCTAAACCACTTGGCCATCGTGGCCCCCACCAAAAGAACGGTTAACTTACCAAAGAGTATAAAAACAAGTCAATTATTTTATATATATAAACTCACTTCATTTCACTTATTTTATATTAAAAAAGGCTCCGAATGAAATAGGCAATCCTCTATTTAAACCAGTAGACAAAATTGACAGAAATCTGCTTTCAAAATAAGATTGTTATTGTTTCAGTGTGCCGTATATTTCTTGTCAGCCGACTAATATATATTGCGGAAATGTTATTTAAATTTTAACTAGGCTAATGAGATGAGCTTATTTCTAATTACTGAATGACAAAGGACACATAAGTGGCGTAAAAAGATGTCTTTGGGGTTTTCCCAGCAGTAATATCTACAAGGAAATCTATACGGTGGGCTGATTGATCACTAACTATTGTGATAAAGGTCAGAGATTTGTGACATTTATTGCCATCATTAAATCATTCATGCGTTAAACATGCCAAACAGACAGGTAACCAACAAGCATACTTTTTGTAAACATATGTTTCGCTGCAAAGTTAGTATCATTGTTTCTGTAATATTTCCAATTGTATAAGACCGGATTTTTGTGTAGACAGTTGTTTTAAATATATCCAATTTACAAAATAGTCCTTTAAAGGCTTTGATAATTTCATCAGTAACTTTTGTTCAAACTAAAATAAAATTATAATATTGAAAATATCATATAATTCATATAATTAAGAATAGAATTAGCTCCCTTGCACTCCTCTACCCAGTTACTGGCTTATTATCTGTATTCTGTAGACGTTAATCCTGTCCATTTTTGTGTATGTATTATATCGGCTATGATTTCAGATTTTGTGACTCTACTGACTTGTCCATGTAACTTAGTATGATATTTAGATCTTCTACACAGATGTTTCGTATTATTCTGGGTGTTATGCATGATGTATGATACAAGCTACGCACAGATAATGTTTTGGTGTATTTTTGCATGCATTATGACGTCATCATTTTCAATTACCTAAACAGAGGGAGACAAAGCCGATTCAGCAAACAAACGTAATATCAACTGCAGCGTAAATCATTTTTAACAAACTTAATATTTTAGTAAATTTTAAAGGTGAATACATATGTGTGTGTTACGTTTACCTTCAGGATATTAGAGATAAAGGGTGGTAGACTGCACTGGTGCATTGTTAAGTCCCCTATTATTACTGTTACCTCGATGGCCACAGTAATTTCTTTTAAGTTTTAAGTAGCAGAATAGTTCATAGTATACACACTTCAAAATATACAGTATATATGCTTGATTTCTTTTAATTTAGATTTAACCATAATTTCTCTAAATTTTTGAATTCGTAAATAAAGGAGTTTTGTTTTACGAACTTCCGTTTCTGTTTAAACAGTTATTTAGACTTATTCGGGGGGTGTCAAACTTTCTGGACCCTAGCATCACTAATTAGTCCTCGAAAGACGAAACAGATGTACGTACAACTTGTAACACTTTTCGGCATACTGTATTTATTTATTTTTTTATCTACTTTAAAATTGCAAACTACATTTTTCCAGGATAGATCTAAATCTTGCCATAGTAAAACATTTCAGGAGCCTGCGATGTTTTTAATGCATGAATTATCACAATTTTTATTCCGCAAGTTTTTCATGAAAGTGACTAAATTTAGCGAATTTCGTGTATAACATATAATATAATTGAAACCAGAACATGTATGATAAAAAAGACATCCTGCGAGCAATATAAAGCTCTCACTCAGCCTTAAACCAAAAGTACGCTAGAAACGTTGTCACAGGTTTTACCTATGTGACGTCATTGCTGCTCATAATAAATTCATATCATATGACATACATAACAAATAGGTATTTGATGATGTGAGATAACAGCATACATTGTATAAAAACAAACAAGATGTCTCATTACGTTGAAGACCAACAACAATCCCAACACTTGCATTATTCACAAACGTTATTTTGTTGTGTGCCTGTCTGGATCAGTCAGCTTGTCCTGCTAGTTGTAATTGCCGACACCTTTATCGCCGTCAATGACATGTACTTCAAAAACGTACCATATAAATGTCATCTTGACAATGTAATCTTCAAAACATATAAATAATACGGTGACATACTGTGGTATTTGTAATGGAGTAACTAAAACTTCATTTTTTTTACGTTTCATTTACCATTCACTTTTATGTCGACACAATAAGATAATCATTATCCTAAGTGTTTATGCTTTATTGAAATGCATTGTGAACCAATTTTCATATAACATTCTTTTTTGTTACAGTTAATATTTTCTATAGTTTATTGTTATAGCTATGGTCCTAACATAGTCTTACAATGTCTGTTTGATGTAGATGTAACAAAAAACTAGAAAAAATAAAACAATAAATAAAAAAAGGTTTCTATAATAGTATAGAGTGGTGCTATTTACCATTTACCTGAAATAAGCTATGTGTTTGAATAACAAATCAGTTCCCTTTCACTCGGATCGTGGAATGATCTAGGATTTAGATTTAGGGATGCAAAGTTTATGGGAAACAAGTGAAGTTGAATAAATGCTTTAAATTCCTTCCCATTTGACTTTATTGCGGGCCAAAAAAGGCAAATACCTAACAGTTTAATTTGTACAGTAATATGTACAGATCCATTCAGTTGCAGTTTCTTTCACAGGAAAAGCATGAACTGCTTTTATCCAATTGCAGTTGTATATCAAAAATTTGTACCTATGACATATGACAAAAAACAGTGTATAAACAGTTAAACATCAACTAAATATTTCTTTACCGTTTACACTAATTTACTTCAATCGGAAATAAAAAGAATACAAATATATGACGCGTCTCAAAAGAACACGCTTATACACTCAACACGTTACAAAGTGATTTTTTTTAATTTTGTTTCTACAAGAAACATAGTTTGAAAAAGTAAATATATAAATGTGTGTGCATTTGTATTGTATTTATATTGAATCATTTACCTACATTTTGTATCACACTTTTCAAATCCAGTACTCTACCACTCTGTTTTATGCACACAAACAAACAATACCTGAGTCGAACAGCTGTTAAATTGAAAAGTTTTCCTGTCCAAAATGTTGAAAAAAGTATTGATTTCTTACGTAAATTAAATCTTGTTTTAAAAATCAGATCACAATGACGACAATAAACCACCTGTTAAGTAGTTAATTACTCATTAAGCTTTCGAAAAGCAGGTCAACTGTTGTTGCATGTACATTACACGCCAGATAAAGTTGATGCTTGAATATAACTACCATATGAATTGTATGGTTTTCCATTTCGGTATTATGGTCTTTGCATATGTCATTATAGTGCAGCAATGTGTATAATGCATGTCGTACATATTTGATCAACATGTTTTGTACAAACCTAATGTACTGTTTGATGATGACTAAAGAGGTTTTATTGGTTCACATATATCCTATGCATGAGTAAATATCGTAACGGACATATAGACGTCACTGTCCACTGGTCAGTTAATGGACAGATTGACGTTTTATTGACATATCCGGAAGCGCCCACCCTTGCAAAACAAAAGGAAGTGTTCTGGTCAGTATATAAGGTTGCTTATTTCTCTTTACTACCACAATTTCCTTTGTTGATTTGCCAACCATACCGGTAAGTGCACCTTTCTGAGAGTTTGAAAAAGTACTTTGAGATACATGTATTTTATAATTCATTTCGCCACAGTTCAAAATATGAACCACTGCATTTATTGTATATAGCTTATTTTGAAATCTTAAATTACATTACAGTATATATCGATTATGCTTACTTTTAATATTGGGTTGATTTGGTTTTCATTTAAAAAAGGTATAGTTTATGTTCCCTAAAAATTAATGTTACATCTGTATCGAAAGTATAAATATATCGTTCAAATAATTTTGTCTACTACAAAATCAAGATGTATCCTATTGTAGTAATATATATATGTTTATACACACAATGTATTTATCTATTGGAAAAGTGAGGCTTTATGTATTATTTGTTAACGCTATAAGTTTGATAACTGTTTATCTATTTTCCGAAGGAAAACTAACAGCTCTTATTTAACGTGTCAATGAATTAATGAATAATACATGGTTCTGTATATAAGGTCCATACCCTCTTTAACTAAAAACAAATTGCTAAATAATGTAAAATCTTCAATCAAAAATAGCAATAGAGAACCATTGAAGGCTTTCGTGTAAATTTGTTATGTCTACATTGTTTTAAACCATGAATTCCTACAGATACAATGAAGCTTCTGGTGGCTGTTATCGCATTTGTCTGTCTGACTGAGCTCGTGCTTTGTCAGGGCAACAATTTGGGTCTGTTGGCCGCCGGTGGACTTTTAGGCTTTGCTGCATCCCGGTCAGGTTTATTCGGTGGTGGTAACCGAGGATTCTTCCCCGGAGGAGGATATGGTTACGGCAGGTTCGGTCCAGGGGGATTCGGTCATGGAGGATTCGGTCCAAGCTACGGTCCCGGTTATGGATTCCACCGTCCTTATTGTAAGATTCTTTCTGTTTTTATCGTTTCTATGTATGTTAGATATGTAATGCAAGACATATAAGCAACAGTTGTTTCATTTAATCGTCGATTACTCCTTGAGTCAGAGGTTCATCTGCCATTGGGCAAACATATAAAACATGGAAGGACAACATATCAATAAACAAAACCACTTCATTTATGTACGTAATAACACTTATAAGAACTATGTTATAAAGGACGTAATGAGTATTTAATGTCATACTAACGCTACAATATAACCATAACCAGATCAGGAACCCATCTTACTTTCACATTTCTAAAATCTCATTAAATAAAACAATAGAGCAACGAGAACGAACATTTGTTTGCACGATGTATTGTTTTTACAATTTACCCGAATATCTATCCATGATATCGTCAGTGAATATTGAGATACTTCTTACATATTGCAAATACACTCTATGACATTTATTAATATTGTCTGGTTCATTTAAATAACGAACACCTACTTAACGATAAATATATGTAAATGCATCAATATAGATAAAATTATTTGCTACACTGGTAATGTTTTATCAAAGTAAGACCGAACTGAGTATTTCATTCAAGCTAAGTATAGTAACGTACAGTTTTAGCGTGGCCTGGCATTGTGTTCCATATGACGATTGCCGAATAGGGCCATCATTGATAGCCTTCGATTAAATATTACATTGCCCGACATTTTTTGTCTGGAAAATATGACCTGCCATTTCAAATTTCAAATTATATTTTCCGTCTGGAAATAAAATGGCATTCGATTCGATGTTGCATTGTCAGGCACTCTGCGATTACGTTAAAAACAGTGTTTGGAAAGGTGAACTTTGATTTTGTTAATCATCAGTATATACTTAGTACAACTTACATGATTTCCCTTCATCTTTTGCTGCTTGCTAATTTCCTCCTTGTCTTATGAATGTGACCGTAGGTAACTCAGCGCCCAGATATTCTGTTAAAAGTTAGTAGAGTGTTATGTTCGACAATGTGAAAAAACATTTGATAGGGAAACATGATTTTTTTTGTTGGACAAACAAAAACGAATTAAAAAAATTGTCGTCGAATCGTATAAGGATTCCAGGATAACAAAATAATGTCTTAAGTATTGATGTCTTAAGTCCTCTTGGGATTGAATAATCTGAGGGAAAGTCTTACATGATTTATACACTGATAACCTAGTGCGTGTGATAATATAGTTAAACAAATCCTAATCAGATTGGATTAGATGCAGACATTTTTTGTTTATCTTCTGCGGCAAATTATAATTACATATTGAGAGCCTAAACAGGCCAAAGTAAAGTAGATATTACGTGGTCATATCAGAAAATCTTAAATAAAAATACTGTAATTTGGGTAGTCATTTTACCACAATGTTTTACGAACATAATTGTGTTATATAAATGAGAAATAAAGATTGTCAAAGCAAAGTAGATATGCATGTTCATATAAGACAATCTGAAATAAAAATACTGTTATTAGTGCAGTCATCATATCACAATGTTTTACGAACATAACTGTGTTATATAAATGAGAAATAAAGATTGTCAAAGCAAAGTAGATATACATGTTCATATAAGACAATCTGAAATAGAAATTTTGTTATTTGTGCAGTCATCATACCACAATGTTTTAAGAACATAATTGTGTTATATAAATGAGAAATAAAAAATGTCATTTCCGTTACAGATGGATAGATAAAAGTCTCATCACCTGACATTGATGTATCTGTGGACTTTATAACGCCAACCTGACAGACAAGGTTACCTACACGAATGACGCCTCGCCGTGTGTTGACACTACATCATCAACAGACTGACACGTAGCTCACCTGTAATATCTACCTGTGTTCTAAGGACTGATATTGTCTGTTACTTCTTAATATGTGAATGCCGTCTATTTATTAATAAAATGTTATTATACGTCCGACTATCGTCTGTATTTTTATATGATCGAAAAGAAGGTTAGGATGTACAATATATTTGACTTTGAGAAAAACTTGGATGAATTCTGGACAGATCCCGATTTAAAGTAAGGTCATACATCATCTTATATATAGGCTTATTTTATGTTTACCACAATGTATTTCGAACTATACTGATGTGGAAATAGAGGCAGCAATGCCTGCGTCCACTTTTATCCTATCAAATCCTATTAAATATATTTATACTTTAATTACTGTTCTACCAGTGAAATATCAGTCACTATTATTTTGGCTAAGATTAATATTTATTATATTGTCACTTGTGATAATAAAAAAATGAAAAGAAACCGTTAAGTAATAAATATGTTTGAAATTAAAGAAAAATGTAACAACTACCTTAGAAGAATGATAAGGTAACGTCAAGCTGCTTTCATTCGTGTGCTGATAGTAAATGCGTTGTGACTTTTGGCGATACAGTTGGGTTTTATGTATGTACCGCTTGTAAACATAAAGTATTCGCCTTAGGATAGGACAGGTAACGCGATGCTATTCACTCTATTGGCAAAATGATGCCTGTTGTGGATAACTCATATCAAAGTTTCCTATCCTAATTTCATTTTCCAATAACGTTATAGCATTTCTGTTGAAATCATAAATATAACACAAACACCAAATAGCCGCTGGTTTTGGAAACATATTAGTCTTATCTTATAAATGTTCAACGTCACGAAAAGAAATGACGATATTGAATATGGTGTGGTGAAAGCAGAAACAACGTTTGTCACATAATTTACTGTGTTATGCAATGAATATACACATGTCATATTTTTTGCGTATTAACCCATGTAATATGACTTATCAGCCCTGTGATTGGTTGTAAGTTTCAATTGTTTCAATTGTGACGTCACGCCTAGGACAAGTAGATGACGTCAAGGACTTACGCACTGGAGTCAAAATAGCGGATTTTTACATTTCAGGATTGCATGAAAACTGTCGTTTTACACGATTAAATGCCACAAATCTTCATAGTGTGATAAAAAAAGGATCTTACACTCGTTTTCATTTTATATGAAATAGAAACTCATATATATATATATATGCACATGTACATGTAAAACCTACATTTACCTCCTTTCAAACTGACAGACGTGGAGCAGAACAAAAGTTTGATCAAGGAAATGGGGATTTGCGTTATGTCTTACCGAAATAAAGCAATTATAGGCAACAGTGACCTCCTTCTGATATACTGAAGTAAATGTCCTTCTCATGATGTTTCCGGTCTGAAGTTCGATTATTGTCGGACTTTCACTAATTTAGCAAAGTTGAACCAATTTGTTGTACAGATGACCATATAGACAGACGGGCGGACTGCAAAAAGCACTAAATACAATAATGTTCTAAATGCTTAAGGACGAAATCCGCGCTCGCGTTTGATACAAATAGACATAACTCAACCAACTTTATCAAAATATGCAACAAACAAGAACATTAAACTTTCACACACACACACACACACATACACACACACCCATACACACACACACACACACACACACACACACACACACACANGAGACTAAGGAAATACCAGATGTGCAATAGAGTACGAGTATCCTCAGTAAATATTGCACCGATTATAGTATATATTAATAAACATTACATGTAGTATATCTCAAGTAGCTGATCTCCAGTAGATCAGGGTTTCCCTAACATTTCCCTAACATTTACCTTGGTTGAGTGTAACACTTCAGTGATCGCTGGTTTGCATGCATAACATATATAGCGTTTATAATTTGAAGGAACACGTTATTAGGAAGCCAACCAACAATGTGTTACATATCACTATAGTACCGTAAACACTTGTATTTTACGCAATTTGCATGTGCACGGTTGCTTGAGACTCTCGCTCGCATGTGAGATTTGTGGAATGGTCTGAGCTCGTTGGAAAAACAACCATATCTAGAGTGACAGCATATAATTGAGACATTTCTCCTGGTACGGAACACGCCAACGGTACATACAACGTTATGTCTCTTTCTTATGTTAATGTCTCTATAGGAAAGCATGTTTACCTGTGCTTGTATATAGACCACGATGTGCACGAGCATGCAGGTCCTTTACTGTATGTGGTGTTGTACCGTATGTACAATATTGTATACGCCTTTTACATGGGTCTGTTTCGCATTGGTTTTTTATACACACAACATATAGGTATTAGATGTCTGAGTATCTATCGAACAAGCACGTATATAGGTTGTTGTAGTTGTTGCTGTTGTTGTTATTGTTATGAGATAATATATACACGATGATCCAATACATAAATGAAGTCAGCATGAAATTGTCATTATTGGCATACCGCTATCATTGTAGATTAGTCCAGTTGTTATAAGGCGATATCTCACGGTTCTTGTAGTTAATGACGGATGATGACATTGTGATGTACAAGCGTGATAGGTTCCAATCTTACAGACGGATAGCGATCATGTATGATCAATCTGACAGACGGATAGCGATCATGTACGAACGCCTTCAGCACATCTAACTAAGTTTTTGGGGGCAAACTAAGATTCCATTGTTGGTCGTTTTTGAAGTAACGGAATATATATGTAGAATACTTCATTTGAAATTATAGAACATTTGGGTAATATGTGGCATTATTAAAATAGACAAACGCCGACTCAGTGACTGTCTATCATACAACATTTACGATATTCATGAAGTAGAATACTGCTTGCTTCCAATGTGCATATTTGTTGCGTCTTATTTTTGCGGAAAACAGTCAATAGTGCATTATGGATTTATTCGCAAAATTATTGTTATTTTCTGTAAGGTGTGAAAGCGTTTTCAACGAGTAGGCCCCTTTCCTTTCGGCTGACTAGGTTCTAAAATTTAAATTAGAATAATTATCATGCGAAAAATGAACGTAATGTAGGCACATGTCCTTGCGCCTATACAATTTCATGACAGATAGAGTACATGTATGCCAAAAACATATTACGCTGCACTTTTCAACTATTTCGTCCTTCTAGGACTTACAGCTATCGGGTAGAGGTGGAAATCAAAATAGGTCCTGTCATAAATAGTATTTAATGTAGATTGTTGCACACAACATCTTAATCAATGATGTGCATGTTGGTTCATGCGATTCCCTCATATAAATAGGCATATATCGACATACTTCATTAGCCAGTTGTGGGTTTTTTTTATTCTTTTTTTTACCACTACAAACTGTAAGTAAACATTAAAAATTTAAGTTTGTCGAATCTTTTTAAAAATTAAATAAGTCGAATCGTAAAGACAGACAAAGTAAACAGTAATCGCACCATATTGCAATTTTGTCCATTACAGTGTTTCAGTGGTACTAAGGTTCAAAAGAAAGGAAATCGATGTCCAAAATATTTTTCTAGGTACATGTTAAATATAGTAAGGATGGACAGCTGAGTATAAATCCCTTTATAACTTTACTAATTTACAATGTAATACAATAGTTATTAAAGCATTAAATCTATATTCGTATATAAATCGTCCTAAAATAAAATTCCAGCCTCCTGGTTATTGAAAATAAATTTGAGGTGAAAGCAACGTAAAAAGAAGTAACATTAACAAGGGCAGCACCGGAACCGGAAGTAGATGCAAAAAGACTAAAAAGGGACTGGAGAAACAGCAGAACTTAACATATGTATATAAAACAACTCTGACGTCGTGTACTTTTCGTCGTTTCATAATTCCTCTTACCGGAAAAAAACAGTACAGGAAGTGGATGTCTACAGTTGTCCTTTATTACATCGTTTTGTAGATATCCAGGTGAAAAGTGTAATATATCATATCAAAAGCTCAGTTTTTAGGAGAGGAGTTCCAGTTTAACATGTTTTCACATGCATGGTATATTTTGCCGAATAGTTGAGACTGCAACGTAGCATATTCTGTAAGGTCGCGAAAAAAAAAATGTGTTGCAAAATCTTGCTTCAGTTAGTTATCAGGTGATAGCAAAATACTGACTTTCTTTTCTTTTTATCACGCGTTCATGATTTTAAATTAATCTCACATACATTAGAAACGCTTCGTTTAAGTATGAATTGTATTTTTTTCACATCAAATACCAAGCATTTTTTATACAGGCGTTCAGGCGATGTCAGTGCATACCTGAATAACACCCACGTTATCACTCAGGTGACCTCTTACCTTTTCAAACGTCATTTAAACGCTCACTGAGGTACGTTGCATGATGTTTGGTTTTATTATAATTTCTCGATAATTTCTCGAACCTATTTACCGGACCCTTTCCATATTAGCAGTTTTCAAAAACTCACGTAGGCTGGTTATCAGGTGAATGTCGATTTGTAAATATAACATGAAGTTGACTCCCTTGCACTGTCGCCGTTAATACACTGTCATTTGCTCAATGGAATACTTTTAAAGGGGTTTTTTTCATTAAAGGTTCTGCAAAGATAAGATATCAAAATATATTGTTTTGGTCAGCCTGATCACTTTTCTTAGCTAAGATGTACGATTTGAAACCTGCAATAAGACATTGCATGCTATTTCGATGTTATGATATTGAGTCCGGTAAAGAGGATTTTTATAGATCCTATATCGGTAAGTAAACTTCACTTAACTTAACTTAAGATGCATCCAACCTGTCCAATTAAAAAAGTTGTTTTTTTTTTTTTTTTTCATATAATATTAAAGCTAGGTTAATAAAAAAAAAATAGTCTTTTGTGATAGTAAATACATGGTATATGGCGTACATGTAAAACGACATGACATGATACTATTGACCTCGGTTTTGCCTCGGTTAATATGTGTTTTTTTCAGGTTCAGCTCACATTATATTCACCTTTACAAAAGTCCATAATTGTATAATGTGTATACCAGCACATGTCCCTAATCACCCCTGTGGTCAGCATGCAGGTATTGTCCATTTCCGCATTACGCATAAAGTGCTCGGTCAAGCAACAACACCATTATCATCATGGTGGACATGACTAATTGGCTTGTTTTCAGTCGGCACGCCTAACGAACAAACCACAAAAAAAAACAATAATGGCAATGGTCAGTATATAAGATCCTTACGCTGAGGAAATAGAGACATTACAACAAATCCACACAGCAGAAGAATATCTTTGGTAATTCGCTGGAAAGGGTAAGCATTATTCATACATCTACAAACTTGTTTTGAGTCCTTAACTCATAGATTTTTATGGGGGTTCATAAAATATTTCACGGTATAGGAAGTTAACATGGTGGGAACAATATATATATATAGTGGTTGAAGCTTCTGTGAAAAACGATTTATACAACATCAATCACTTTATTCATAAAATTTCGTCGCTCAACAGGTAAATGGAAAATATTTGTAAATCAAATATTCATGTCCAATCGCACCATGCTATTTATTACAAATTCTTGAGGATGTAACGACACTTTTTACTGGACAATATATTTTGACTTTTGGTAATAAGCCATGCGTTAACATATTCTGTTTGTTATAAAGACCATGCACGTGCATGCTCTTCTTGCCCAATAAACCACGTACGTGCAACGCTTTTCAAAAGTCTGCGTGTATGGCTATTGAATATGTTAAAAAGATGATCCGTTTATAACTTTTCTGAGAGAAATTAGTTTTGTCGATAAGATGAACACGTGTCCTTGTGCTAATCTAAAGATTTTACGTAAATCCCACAAACAGGAAGATTTGGCGAAGTAGCCAGATCTTACGACATCTGCTGTGCTTGGCTTATTGATGAAATGAAAACAGGTCACGTGACAAACGTTTGCACGCGCAAAATAAGAGCAACATTTAAAGAATACAGTGTATTTGCCTTGCTGACGACTAAACTCGGAATTCCAAAATGTTGGCAAAATTAATTCAGTTCTAATATTTTAAAATAATGAATGCACATGCGTTAATGTTTTCAGAGGTTTCTAGGATGATAACTTATTGTACTCATACTCGTAAACCGGTCGTACCTGATCACATCAAAACTTTTCAATAACATTTCATCTGATGTGCAAAATACTAAACTGGATTTTACTTAACAATGCACGTTTCACTTTTTGCGAATAAGGCATTTGAAATCACTTTGACTTTTTGAAGAAATTAAACAGAATAACGATCTTAAAAACAATTCTGTTACATTATTTGTTACATACAGAAATCAATTACGGTGTGGTCTTTACAGCATTTAAATAGAATAGCACCAAAATAATCCTCATTAGACCCTTTTCAATCACCCTTTACGATTAAACAAATATTTGACCATGGAAGAATAAAGGCAGCAAGCATCAATTAACTAATTCACCCCTGAAAATATATTTGAACTTTTCCAATTCAAAAGTTCGAATAGCTCATTATAAAATTTCAGGGATGAATGAATTAATAAATTCAAGGAATGACGTCTAATAAAAATACTATTCTGACATAACAAAGTTTTGTAATCGATACAATTTTTATTTAACAGAAATCATGAAGTTGATTGTTGCTGTACTAGTGTGTCTGTGTCTGTCCGGAATGGTAGTGAGCCAGGGAAGATTGGGATCCTTTATTGCAGGAGGGTTGATCGGTCGCGCTCTTGGGAGAGGTAGGGGTGGTTACCACGGCTACTATCCAAGGCCCTTCTACGGAGGATATGGAGGGGGATACGGGGGATACGGGGGACACGGGGGATACAGACGCCCATACTGTAAGTATAAGACCATACCAACGATTTCGAACGACCATGAAATGTTTCTATCGTTTTGCTTCAAATTAAGGGTGTTATTTTTGTATTTCCGTTGTTCTGATGTACACGTTGGATGTACGCTATTGAAACCAATATCTTACTTCGAGACATCCGAGTTTTTCGACTTTTCAGTGTTCGAGTTATCAGAGTTTTATTAACTAAGATAAAGAAAAGATTTGGCCGGGACCGGAGAAATACTTCGAGATAAACGGGGTCTTCGAGTTAAAATAGTTCGAGATAACGAGGTCAACCTGTATGTTGATTCATATGTTGCCTTTTGATATTTTAAAGTGTATTTTAGAACAGTTTACTTTTGATTGAGCTCCTTGAATATCAGTAGGTTCTGATTGCAATACAAAACTGGAAATTAGTACTAGTCTGAATTTGTCTCACGTCTTAACCAGTTTTGCAGATGAGTATAAATCTCAGGAAAAGCAAACTTGAATGCAGTGTGAACCATTTCAATAACCAACTATTTATAAGATCTTTGGGAAAGTAAAGTCTCGTTCATGCTAGTCGATTGTGGGTTGGAAAATTCTGCCCAAGCCCTAGGGATTCAAATTGGATAAAACCCGAGACTTTCCGAGTGGTTTGCACCGACGGCTAACGAGTCAATGGACTTTAAATACCTGTAAAATATTAATATATTAATATGCTATCAATTAAATAACATATTGTGAAACATGAATAGCTGTATAACGTTAACATGTATCTTTGTAGATGGGTAAACTCTCCTGAGCGACACTGGATAATAACAGAGTTTACGAACGATCACCAGTACCCATATTACCCAAAGGAGTACGGACAACATGTTAAATGCAATGCATATATAATCGGACCTTTTTTCTTTGTTCTGTGAAATGTTTTAATCAATAAATATTTATTATAACAAATTGTTATTTTTTGTGTATTCTACTCGTTTGATTTACTTATTCGTGTCAATTTCTAGTTGTTTGTTTGTTTGGGGAATATGTATTTATATATGATATTGATAAATATGTGGGTGACCCTTATCTGATGTCCTGATGTGACAGTGTGATATATACTTTTCTCGCACCTCAGACAGAAATATCCCACGTTATACCCCATGCTAGATTTTTCTATTTCGTCAGATCTGTCTTGTAGCTTTACGTGACATTTCACAGAATTTTTACACTGCGATGTATTCATCCGCACGTTAACTGTTTTAAATTGACAATTTGCAGTAAAAATGTTCTGTTTTGTCGTTAAGTGTATAGTTTTGATATTGTTAGATATTTGATGCTGTAGATAAAATATAATCTACACTGTGAAATACGTTGTAATCTATGCAAGGACGGACTCAATTTTTACGCGGAAGCGTTCAAATGTAACTGTAGTAGTGAAGAGGTCATTATCATTTGTGGCCCAAGGCGGTATACTTGTAGTTTTGAATAGTCCTTTTCGAACTAAAAGGTGCGAGAAAAAAAGATCAATTACCTGTAACTGAGCGGGATCAGGTTATCTCAGTCTCGGGCTAAGATTCTGTAACATCCCACCCTCGGATTACGCCTCGGTTGGGATTTTGTTACAGAATCTTAACCCTCGACTGAGATAACCCGATCTCGCTCAGTTACAGGTAAATTGTATAAGTCTCACCCTAGGGTTGAGACAGGTAAGATGATCGGGGTTAGCCTGTCAATACAATTGTAATACGTCATATTAATAAAAGAATGACAACACGTTAACAATGCATCATACCCTTCAAGGTTAGATAGGTAATTTCAACCCCGGGGGAGCCTCGTGTCATTTCCGCCCCTACCCCCCGCCCCAGGCTGAGATTTCCCTTTCTCAACCCAAAATGGGTGAACAAATATATTTATCCTGATATTGATGTTCATTTGTATGAAAAATTACTTATCCTTAAACGATTTTTGCTTTTGTGGGAAACACTTCATGTTAGAAGAAAAGGGTAAGACTATAGGATTTTTTACAAAGTGAGCATCTTCTCAGCCAATGTCCGATATTAACAAATATAGTGACAATTTGGTATCGTGATATAAAGTAGCAAACGGAAACAAAGCGTCAACAAATAATAATCAAGAGTCAACATTGAAAAAAAAAGAAAACAATATGAACTGAGTAGACGTCAATACAACAACAGGCACTAAGTAGACGTCAATACAACAACAGGAACTAAGTAGACGTTAATACAACAACAGGAACTGAGTAAACGTCAATGCAACAACAGAAACTGAGTAGACGTCAATACAACAATAGGAACAGAGTAGACGTCAATACAACAACAGAAACTGAGTAGACACCAATACAACAACGAGAACTAAGTAGACGTCAATACAACAACAGAAAATGAGTAGACGTCAATACAACAATAGGAACAGAGTAGACGTCAATACAACAACGAGAACTAAGTAGACGTCAATACAACAATAGAAAATGAGTAGACGTCAATACAACAATAGGAACTGAGTAGACGTCAATACAACAATAGAAAATGAGTAGACGTCAATACAACAATAGGAACTGAGTAGACGTCAATACAACAACAGGAACTGAGCAGACGCCAAATTACCAACATGAACTGCATAGACATCAGTACAACAACAAGAACTGAGTAGACGTCAATACAACAATTGGAACAGAGTAGACGTCAATACAACAACAGAAACTGAGTAGACACCAATACAACAACGAGAACTAAGTAGACGTCAATACAACAACATAAAATGAGTAGACGTCAATACAACAATAGGAACAGAGTAGACGTC